TGGTTCCAGAAGGGTAAAGACAAATATGAGTAGACAGGTGGGCAGTTTGATGTGAAAGTACCACATGAGGGCAGGCGAGGTGCTTTGGAAGAGCACAAGGTAAGAAGTGTGACTGTGGGATGGTGATAGCATATGCTGAAGCTGTGAGCTGCCTTTGGTGGTACATGAGGAAGACTGAGTTCATGCCAGCCTTAGCTATGCAGTGAGAAGCTGTCAAAAGCAACACCACAGCCATTTGTTTGGGTAGTATAGAGGAAAGTGTGCCATGGTATGTCCATTTTAATCACCTGTGACAGGACTGGGAGACATTGCTGGGAATAGCTACTCTTTCTTGAGCACATGAACTTACTGAGGAAAACATTCACTGTACTTTGTAACCCTCTACTTTGGCTGTGCTTAGTGTTGGAAATGTCACATGACAAGGTTTTCAGCTTAGGAGAACTGAGCAAGGAAGGACAGATGACCAGGTAGGTGTAAGGTGCACATCAGGAGGTGTAAGCAGAATCAGAGCTGTCTTCTGTAGTGGAAATTCCAAAGCCAGCAGCTCTTCTCTACCTGCTCATAGGGATGCTATTCCTGGCTTCACAGTGGATGTCTAGTAGGCCCATTTTCAGTTTTGAAGACCACTGGGATAAGAGCCAGGTGGGTGAGTTGACTTATAGCATAGGAAAGGCATAGAGCTGAGTCACAATTGCAGTAGCCCTGGTCCAAGTGACCCAGGCCTTCAGATGGTACAGCACAGAGCAATGAAGGGATGCTGGAGAGAACCTTGACACTGATATCTGTAAGCAAAAGAAAACTCAGCCTGGTAGGCCTCATGAAATGGTTAACAGGGCGAGATAGTAGGTGGGAGGTATTTTCCAGAACTACTTTTTGAAGAGCCCTGGGTGCTGTGCCCTTTGTTATTACCATTCTTTAGTGTGATGACAAAATGGTGAGAGAACATCCAGACAGTCAAGAACCCCATTGTGACTGAGAAGAAAGAGGCTGTTGCCATGCCCAGGTCAGGATGGAGGGAGTTGCTAGAGCTGTAGCAGAGAGAGGGCCACAGCCACTCTTCATAGGATGATCTGATAGACAATCCCTATCGGGAGAGAGTGGTGCTGCCTCTGACCAGGAAGGAAATGGTAGTGTTTAGAGCTACTGGAGTGGAGCAAGGGCTCAACTGGGGCTGTGGGAAGAAGCACCTACTTGGCACCAGGCAGACAAATTTGAAGCCAGCCAGGTGACATCTTTACCCCCCCCCCCTTTTTTTTTTAAACAAGGCTGGGTCTGCCCATGATAGGTACTGGATATTCCCTTATACTGGACATCTGTCTTTTGCTTTCATTTAGATTTTTTTTTAATTTTAAAAATTTAGCCTGCATAAGGGCTAGTGCCTTTTAGGAATCAGCATCTGTAGAGTACAGATAGTCTTTAGCCATTTTCTTTACAGAGGTTCTAAAGGAGGAAAAAAGACATGTAGTTACTGAAGGATTTGCTCTGGACTTCAGCTGTGAGTTAATATCCAGCTAGCCCTGTCTCCTGGGTGCCATGGAGAGGATACCAGGTGGAATCACAAGGGGGTATATTTTTTTCAGTGTGAGGTGTGTGTGCGTGTGCGTGTGCGTGTGTGTGTGTTTCTTTCAAAACTAGGGTCTTGTACATAGTAGGCTGCTACTCTACCAGTGAGTGAATCAGGATGGATTTCTGTTCTGTTGACTTTGTGTACCTCTGCTGGGGACTAGGCTGGAGGTTGCTATTATTTGGAGGCTTTAGGTCAGAACTTTAGAAAGGTTAAAGGTATTTGTGACACCAAGTCTGTCTGTTTTTGAGCAGTGAGAATTTCAGGGCCATACAGATGTCACCTTCTCATCTGTTACAACGAAAATCTGTTGGGAGCCCTCTTGCTACCCTATGCCGAAAATCATTTACTTTCTAGACTCCTTCCAGAATTTACTCACCACATTGGAGAATGGTAAAGAGCTGAGTGGATGGAGTGAACATTTTGGGGCACACAGTTGCTGCCACACTCTAAACTCTGCCACCACTGCAGCATGAAATCACTTCAGATGGTATAGACATTGGTGAGTGTGGCTGTGTCCAATCACATATTACTTACATACCAGGCCTGAAGCTAGCCCTGGCCTTAGACAGTAGATTATTTGTTTACCCGTTTATATCTGCCCTATGGCAGTTTCCTGAGCTCTCCTGTGCACATACTGAGGATAAGGAAGGTGCAGATCCTTTCAGCAGGAAGCAACAGGTACACACTGCTGGGCAAAGAGTGAAACAGCGGGGCTCAGGAAGGTCCATGATGAGCTAGCTCCAAGAGGAGGGAAGACATTTGAGTGGGGAAAGCCCAAGGGAGGCAGCAGCTCTGTAGCTAGACCTAGAGGATGACATGGACAGGTCCAGATGGTAAAGAGGTTGTATCTAAGCTACAATTTTGTGTTGCTAGAGGCACTTGGGCTAGATTGGGACTGGCTGGGTGACAGGCTGAGGGTCACAGACTATTCTCTAGGTGGTAGGTAGTTGACAGATGAGTTTAGGAGGGTAAAGTGACCACAGACACATTACATTCAATAGTGTCACTCTGATTATGATGGACCATGCTTGTAACTACAGATTACACCTTTCTGGTTAGTGTGGACTAGATGTATAAGGAAGGGGTGAGACGCACTTAGAATTAGGATGCAAAATGCAGCTGGAATGTTGAACGGTTTTCTTGCCAGGATGTCTTTGTGATGAATGAGTGGTGTCACATGACAGTTTGACTGTTCTTCAGACCCTTTCTCTCTTGTGAGCCTAGAGATTACTAACAGTGTTTCATTGGCCTTGCTCTTTTTGTATCCAGGCCAATTTTGGCTTTGGGCCTTAGTGTGTGAGGGTAAAATTGTGAACACCATCCCACCCCCCCACCCCTGCCATATTCTTATCCCCTTTAGAACTGAATAACAGAGCAAGCTATGTGGCATGCAGACTCACTTAAAGCCAGGCCTTGCAGGTTTCTACTGACAGGTGAATACTGCCCTGGTGCATGCTGGGTCTGGAGGGTACCCTGCTCTGCTCCAGGTAATTTCCTTAGGGCAGTTTTTAGCCACGTTGAAAGCAGCTTTCATTTAGAAAGTTCCAGCAACAAATGCTTGCTCTCATTGAATTTTTGTGATCTGCAGACATTCTGCAAAGTGGTGTGCCTAGGAGACATGTTGGCTGTTTCAAGCCTTGCTTATTAGCTCCCTCTAGTGCAGTGGTTCTCAACCTTTTTAATACTGCTGTCTCTTTAATACAGTTTCTCATATTGTGGTGACCGCCAACCAGGAGGTTATTTTTGTTGCTACTTCATAATTATAATTTTGCTACTGTTACGAATCATGCCAGAAGGATCTTGACCCACAGATTGAGAACCAATGCTCTTACAGGGATATGCTGCCTTGGACTTGGCTGCCTGGTGAGATGTGGGATAGCTCTGATGCTGATAGTAGAAGGCACATTCCTCAAAACTTTCTAGAGAAGTTTCTGGGTTCATGGAATATGATTTGTGTATGAAATAGACGGAGACTGGCTCTGTCTTGATAGTGTGCAGTTTGTCCATAGCTGATACCAGGAATATATTCTCTTTCCCTCTGTTTTTTTGAGGCAGGGTTTCTCTGTGTATCCCTGGCTGTCCTGGAACTCGCTCTATAGACCAGGCTGCTCTCAAACTCATGGAGATCTGCCTGCCTCTGAGTGCTGGGATTACAGGGTATGCACCACCACATCCAGCTCAGGAATATTCTTTTATTTGGCAGCCAAGTCCTAAAAAGTGCTCTAGCCTCATAGGGTGGTTCTTGTCACTTGGCATGGTCAGTCAATGATAGAACTTTGCCTGTTGACTGTGTCATAGTCTTCAGTTACAGGTTTAATGGCATAATGATGGTCAGAATTAAAAAATAAATTAAAAACTATGTCCCTGAGCCAGAAAAATGTTTTTGTTCCTTGTCAGTTGATCAAGGAAATGAATCAAGAGTAAGGATAGGAGTTTTAGAGGTAGTTAGAAAGACTGCCTTTAAGTTTCTTCCTGTAACTTAGAAAGTTGCATTTTTAGTTTCTGGCTTCTTGGCCTTTTGATGAGTGGTTGATATGCTCCACCCTTCCTGGTTGAGCATACCTTCCCACTCTGGCCAAGAAACTTGATTCTTCTTGGCATAAACATTCTGGTTTAGTGAATCAGTAGCAGGGCACAAGGATCTAAGTAAACTTATCCCCTGAGCACAGTTATGTCCCAGCTGACCCTCAAGGTATCCATGGTATCCATCTGTGAAGGAGGATTTGGATGTGAACCCTGTAACCCCACATTCCACAAGTGCTCTACTGTTAACGTGACCCAAGGACAGAAGTGTTGCTGCTACCAGATGCACAAAAGCCCTTTCTCTAACAGTCATCTTTTATGCTTAGGCTGCCTGGTGCCATCAGGTAGCATTCACTCGAAATCTAAGGATGCGGAGTACTGTTTTCCTCTTAGCTCACTTCACATGACAGCTTCTTAGTGACAGGCCACACCGTAGTGGTGTAGATGGCCTTATCTACCCTTATTCCTGTTTCTGGAAAGCATACTTGGTTGTAGAATCTGCCAGACTGGGGCAGAGCATCCTCAGCCTGTCTAGGGTTCTTGCTCTGTATCCCAGAAACTGGGAGTAGTACTGGGTTTATGAAGCACACCAAGGCGCAAAAACAAGTACTTTGTTCAGGTCCAGGATGAGAAAACCTGTCTTTTGCAGAGTTACAGGTGGCATTTATCTCTAGGCTTTAGCTTACTTGGGTCTGATGTTGGCCGAGTTAGTGCTTAGGAGTCTGTTTAAAATACCCATTTGTATTTACTGTTTTCCCAAATACACAGTGTAAATAGTAAATTTGCAGTGCAAAGTCTTTGGCAATAATTTCATGATGTATACTATGTTAAACATTGGAAACCACAAGCACCATGGACTGCCCCATGCCTTCTGGGCCTGTGGTGACATGTAGACTCTGGACTTTCCAAGTGTCAGCGTGCTTGAAGCAGCAGCCTGCATGTGTGGACTTTCATCAGTGCCTCGCCCAGAGATGCCTGGCCTTCATCCAAAGGGACCCTGCTGCTCCGAGCCCTGCGAGCAGCACCCACACTGCGGCTCCTTTGTGTTGAGTATGTTGGACTCTGCCATAGACTCCTTGTCTGGCTGCTGCAGTTTGTAATGCCTTGACATGTTGCATTTCTTTCCCATTTGGACTAATAAAAATAAACGCTATGTGTAAAATAGGAATGGCCTGGACTATTCTGTGCAGGACTCACTCTGCTGAAAAGTTTACAATGCTAGCTGTGGAGAAGTCTCAGCGGTTAAAAGGGCTCACTGTTGTTTCAGAGGGCCCGAGTTCAGTCTCAGCACCACCCAGTAGATCCAATGCCATCTTCTGGCCTCTACACATACATATTTACCAAAGCACATACAAACATACCAAAAAAATTGAATCAAGTGCAAGCTTCACTCCTTTCCTCAGACAAACTCAGTTCATCACAGAGGTTGTTCACTTCATACAGAGGGAGTGTGTGCATGTGTCCTGACATGGTCAGTGATTTGGGGCCTGTGTAGTTTGCCATTTCAAACTTCCAATTGGCTCTAAGTGGTGTGTCATGTTGCATGGGTGCTCAATCTAAACCTCTTAGATCCTTCACTTCTAACCCTCAAAACTGTCCCATGAGTTAGCAAGATGCAGACATTACCAGTAACAAGAGTAGAACATCTACAGGGCAGCAACAAGCAGTTGACTTCAAAGGTGGTGAAGCCCTTCCTCCAGCAGCCAGCCCTGGGAAACCTGCTGGAGACTACAGTGACACCTGGCCCACTGGTTAGGTAAGTAGACAGTTGCATTGGGTGTTGTGTCTTGAAGCACCTTAAAATTTAGGGCTCTGTGTTTTCTCTGCACACTATCAGCCTGGATTTAAAAAGACTTGCTGGTAGGGATTCAGAAGAGCCGGCTTGTTTCTACTGCAACTGCATTTTCAGGGCCCGAGAGAGCACTCTTGCTTGTAATAGACAACAGGGCTCAGCCCACAACAGAACGGTTTATTGGGTAACTAGGGAAGGTGGGGAAGGGTTGGAGGATAAGGAATGTGTGACAGTCAAGGGCCTCCTGCAATAATAGCAACCCCTATGAGGCCAGCAGGCAGAGAAAGGGTGAGTGGGGTATATGTTCAGAGCCATGTCTTATAGCCATAAGAAAATTTCCATGTAATGTACATATAGGGAAGAGATCACCTGAGCAACAGGCAGGTATAAAGTAACACCCTTGCTGTTGGAATTTAGAACTGTAGGGCAACACAGAGCTGTGTGACCTTGTTCAGACCCTTTTCACCTATAAATAGGATAGTGAAGAGTCTAGCACTTGTACCCTTTATTTAAGGTTTTTCCAGACAGTGTGTCTCTGTGTACCCTTGGCTGTCCTGGAACTCACTCTGTAGATCAGGCTAGCCTCGAACTCAAGAAATCCACCTGCCTCTACCTCCCAAGTGCTGGGATCAAAGGCGTGTGCCACCACTGCCCAGTGTGCCCTTTATTCTTTTAAGTCAGCATCCCAGTCATTTTTTTCTAATCATGTTGCTCCAGCTCATGTCCTCACTCCCTTCCTTCAGTGAGTCTTAGGTGTTTTAGCATCTGGTGCTCTGAGCCAGTGGCCCTTGTCACTTACCTCAATGTTCCTTCACAAGGGCTCAGATTTGTTACTTTTAGGTCATTCAGATCTGGACAGTGTGGTGTTCTGGGCTTAATTAGGGTTTGTATGGATCGTCTTTTTCTTCCCTTACATTGTTTTTCTTCTCCATCTTGGCTTTGTACTTCAGAGCTCTTGACCAGTGTTTTAAGCCCCTTCCTATCTCTTCCAACTGATAGTTGCTGACATGGGGCTGACATGCTCCAAGATATCTGTCCTTCAGCCTGCAGATTGTATTTAACTACCTTTGAACACAGCAGGCCAGTTCTTAACTGCCTGGCCTGTTCATTCTGTTGAGTTCCTGCTACCACCTGTCACAGTATACTATTGCTATCTGCAATACCCCTATCCTAGACCTCCCTCACCAACAGCTTAATGAACTCTACTTCCGTATCTCACTAAACAAGGTTCACCTGTGACATGTTCCACTCTTAGACCTGTATCTGATACTTGCTTACTCTCCACATTTCTTGCATGTTCCCCCCTCCCCCGAATCAGGTTACAAGTGAGAACATCTGGTGCTCTGAGCCTTCCAAGGAATGTTTAGCAATACCTGAAGATATTTTGGGTTGTATGCTTTTGGCATCCAGTAGGTAGAAGCCAAATAAGCTAACTGAACGCTGCCACTCAGGATGACAAAGCTGTCGTCAGTGTTGAAATGGAGAAGCTTTGCACTGTAGATGACCCACTCACTCATCCCACACATCTCCAGCTCTTCTGTCTAAGGCCATCTAGGACCAAAACACTGAAAGCTAAATTTATCTTCCTGTTTCTGTAGAATGAAGTTTCGAGACTCCCTTTCTCATTATCTTTCTGTTTTGTCACCTCTGCTTATACCTTCCTTTCTCTTTCCATTTCTCCCCATAAAGAATCAGCTACCTAAATACAAACTACCTTTAAACTCTGCAGGTCCTTCCCCACGTCTTTCAGGTCCTTTGCATGGGCCTCCACCTGACTTAGACTACTTTTTCCATTTCTTCCTAAACATTGTCCTCTTGCTTCTACCCAGCAAATCTAGTCACTGCAGAGTTGTATCCCTACCTTCTTGTCTCCCTTATAAATTGTTTGTTCAGTGGTCCAGTGTATCCCATACACTTATAAGGTATATCCCCAATTCAGGATCTTAGTATGTTAGTATCTTGGATGGTGATATATAGCTTCATGATGGAGATTTCTACCAAGATAACACTCCCTAACATGGGACCCTTGAGCCACTAGCCAGCCAGCAAATGTAGGTGGACCCCAGAAACATGTCCTCTACCCTGTGAACTGTGCTCTGGAGCCATTTCCTGGCCTTTACAAGAGCACTTATCACAGCTTAGTCCTAAGGATCAGCAGCTATGTAGAAGTCAGGCAGGATCACTTGACACAGAATCTGGATCCCAGGCTATATAGAACGTTCTGAGACAGTTTATATAGAACGTCTGGTAGGTAGTCTAGTCAAGCAGCAAGTGAAGAGAGGACAGGGTTAGAAAGCAACACTGAGATTCAGAGGAGGGAGGTGGAGTAAGAAGTATTTACAGGGTAAAGAAAGGACCTGGGAACTCTACATACCTAGGGTGTAGAGATGTTGGGAGGACCAGCCAGGGAGAAAAAGGAACCTCAGTGAAGATATACCCACCCTTTTCCTGTACCTGAGCTAACACTGCTCTTTTCAGTTGTTTTCCTTCTTGTACCAACAGCCACTTGCTGTTCTTTCTCCCATCTCCGACTATATCTCTGATAGGTGAGACGATTCGGATCCCAAGCCTAATTCTAACTTCTTGTGAAAACCTTCCTTAGATTTTTAAGCATTGGGATTTTCTCACCTGTCAACGTCAGCACTACACTTCTCAGGGAGGGCCATGGGTACCATCTCTTGTACAACACAACCTGTACCCAGTATGTTCTTCCCATATGTGCCTGATGTGCACAAATGCTGGTTCTGACTGCTTCTGGGAAATGGATGGGAAAGAAATATGCAATCATAAAATGACTTTTGTACGAAGCATTGCTGTTTGTACCAAAATATTTAATGAATATGCTGTTAAAACAAACAAAAGAAATAGTAATACAATTTTACTGGTTTATATTTCAGTTCATAAAGCTGACGCACAAACTACCCTAGCACACAATGTCCACACACCTAGTTTTAGATGGACTTACGGCTGTTTTGGTTAACTGAAAAAGACAGACACAGGAAGTGGTAGGGAATGGTCTGGGGAAGAACAGGCCACTTATTATCTCCCCACTGTAGATGACCTCATCAAGCATTAGTAAAGCCAACAGAGAAAGAGAAAATAACTTGTGTCTTTCTTTATATACAAACCCAAGCTACCTCCACACAGAGCAGAGAGGATGAGCCACTTGTGAGACCGCTTGTCAGCATATAAATTAAAGAGTCAAAAGGTTTTGTTTTTAATTTAAAAAAGGTGCTAAAACAGCCATTTCATAGCTTTAAAGTGAGAATCCACAGCCCATCATCTGACCAGTAAGATCCATACCTGAACACTCTGGGAAGCTTCAGAGATCCAGCCAGGAAAGTAGGACCGTGTGTATATAAGTTCATATATTCAGTCTTCCTCACTTGAACAACCTGCTTTGCAAACATTAGAGGTCAAGGAACTGCCCCATAACCACAGATGGCAGTGGTAGATTAGCAGGTTGTCTGGGATTTAAACACTGTCAGTATAGGGTACTGGGAATGGTATTTATATATACATATATATTTATAAACACACACACACACACACATATATATATACACACATATATATGTACACATGACACTTTAAACAAAGTAAAAGCTGTCCATGTCATGATTGATTCAGTCTCACAGTCATGTGGCCCATTCCAGCCTTAGGAAGTAGCTTTGGCAGCTAATTTTTTGTTTTGTTTTTGTTTTTGTTTTTTTAAAAAAAAGACACGACTATGAGAGTTGCATAGAATTGCTCAGCAATGTGAATAATTCCAAATCAAAACTTATGCACTATATTAGTTAACAAAATTAGGTGACTTTAACTGTGACTCCGAGACCCTTCTACTCAAAGTGCTTTTCATCTCTCTGGGGGCTTTTGCTGGCACTGACATCTGTCAGAATTACTCTATTTTCTGAATCCCTGCTCCCCCACTCAAAGGATAGTGTGTGTGTGTACACATTTTTTTTTAAAGGGTTTAGAAAAAGAAAACCCAATACATTGGGGGATACCCCAACTCTGGCTATGTGAAGTGTTCCTATACAGAAAAGAGGCCTGAATGGCACTAGGAAGAAGGAAGGACTCTGGTGCATGCCCAAAGCATCAGTTGGGTTGGCAGCCTGCTGCAGGAGCTCTGGCCCACTGACCTACCAACATACTAGACAGCTCTGACCTAGGTACATTCTGGTCCTGCAACATATCACAGAATCACACATCTGGCCAAAGAAGGCAACAAAAGGTGGTGTGTTTTCTGGAGGTGTCTGGAGGCAGCAGCTATTCTCAGCATGTCTCTTTCCCTTGAACGCCCGTTGCTGTTTTTATGGAGCTCAGTGTTCGGTTAAACCAAGTCTTCTTGGCTGCTTGCACCTCACTGAGGGCAAGGCCCAAGTGGTGTTCCAAGTCCTGTAGAAATAACAAGGAAGTGTGAGGATGTTTGGAATCTATCTGCTCTTACAGAGCCAAAGGATTTGGGAACTCTCTAATCTGAAATTACAGCCTCTTAAAATCACTGTCTCCTGCAACTTTCAGGCACACCATCATCCAGTTAAAATTCCTGTAAGTCCAAATCACTTAGTATGGGACCTGTGTTCATCCCTTTCCTGAGATTTGTCATTAAGCAGGCCTCTTGTCCCTTTGGTTGTGGTCTGAGCTGCTCCCTCAGCCAGAACGCGGATCTTGATTTTGTACAGCTGCTCTTTGTCCATTCTTTGACCACAGCTTAGATACTGCTTATCTTGGTGATACTTTTTTTTGGGGGGGGGGGGTTGTCCTGGGCAGTCCTACAAACCCTCAGTACCTAGTATGACCCTGACAAAAGAAGATATGTCCATCAGTAATTGACTTTGGCATGGGAAATCTGGTCTGAAGTTTTAGACTTGAACTAGGTTCCTGCCATTCATGGTGCCCTAGTGATAAGGATGGCTTGGAGGCTCATAATCATTAGGAAATATGCCCAAAGTCACAAAGTGAGGTTAGTGATGCGTGTTAGAAGAATCAGGTTTGTGCATCCTGGTTTGTATTCTGTTATCATTCTCATGTATACTTAAATATCTTTAGTATTCAATATAACCTGACAAAAGATTAGGACTCCCATTTCTCTCTCTACCTCCTCCCTCCCCATCCCTTTTGTGTTTTTCAACACAGGGTTCTTCTGTGCAGCCTTGGTTGTCCTAGAACTAGCTCTCTAGACCAGGCTTGCTTACAGAGATACACTTGCTTCTGTCTCCCAAGTGCTGGGATTAAAGGTGTGTACTACCACCACTGGTCTAAGACTCACATTTCTATATGGACACCAGAAGTCTAAGATGTAGAGAGATTACTAACCTGGATTGAGTTGGGGAGAGGTATTTTTTAAATACTGCTCTATGTTGTACTAAAAAGACTTAACATTTTGTTGTTAATTCTTAGTACGTTGAAATGGTTAAACATGCTCTGGTAGGTAGTAAGTGTTCTCCCTAGGAGGGCTGTGGTCAGAGTCTAGGTGGTGGTGGGGGCGTGGGGTGAGATAAGACATCCCAAATCACAAAAGTCATTTCTGGTGTTTCTAGTCCGTCCCATAAATCTGACTGTTAAGGAGTATGTGTGCCTTTGTGGCGCTGTTGTTACCTGGATCTTGCACTCAGCTTCTACCAACTGCAGTTTGGTTTGTGCCAGCTCTAGCTCCATCTCCCGCAGCTGGTTCTTGAGTGTCTCTTTTTCTTCATCTGTGTCCTCATCTGAAACTCCCTTGGCTGAGCTGGTACCCTTCACTCGCCCTTCTTTGTTGAAGAAGTCTCGGCAGCGGTCACAGTCATCTACCTTTTGCTGAAGTGAACACCAGAAGTGAAGAGAACCCAAAAGATGACACTCTGTCAGATGCTACAGCATGTACCTCAGTGTCCCTTGTGAGTCTGGTGCCTTCAGAAAATGTCAGACAACCTACATCGAAGACTACTTGGTTGGTGTTTTAAACCAAAAGCAATAAAAATATCCCCTTGATCCACTGTACACCACGAGCAATTCTAGCCTAAGAAAACAAAGTTGCACACAATCAAAGGTTCATATGCAAGGGTCTTCACTAACTGGTATACAGAGAAAGTATCCAGCTGGGAACAATGAGATATGCTGGTTTGTGCTTGTTCAGGGGGAGCTTCCAGGTTCTAAATACTTGAAAAAATGTTCATAATAGGGAAAAAATGGGTAAATACTAATACTAGTATAAAGAAGTAAGATGCAAAACTGAATATAGACTCTGGAGAAACTGTTCAGTAGTTAAGAGTATGTAACGTTCTTCAGGGGACCTCAGTTTGATTTCTAGCACTACATCATGTGGATCACAACTGCTCAATCCTCCAGCTCTAGGGGGGATCCAATGCCTCTGGCATCCATAAGCACCTGTGTTCACATCTACCCCCATAAACAACATAACTCATTAAAAATAAATCTTCAAAAAAGATCATCAAAACAGGATGCCCTGAGGGAAAAAAATCTGTATCCCAAATTTAGAAACAGAAATGTTTAAAGAAACTGGGTTGAATACAATTTTATATCTTAATCGAAGATCAGGAGAGGCTGAAGAATATGAAACACAATCTTAACTGGTGTGAGGGGATTAACTCAGAAAGTAGGTGTTTTTAGTGTGTGTAAGGGGGCTTCAATTGAATATCCATGAGAGGAAAAAAGATTCTGTCATCAATCTGTCTTTGAGTTTTTGTATTATAAGGTTTTACCTCTTATTTCTCAAACTTGTTTAGAAGCATAGAAGGCATATTTAAACAGGTTAGTAAGGAGCACATCAGAAAATTGGTGGTGGCCTTTGTAAGGTTTAAGAAATAGTTTAAAGAAAGCCTTGAGTTACAAAAAGCCCCCAAACTTGCAATAAAATATTAAAAATATTCACTGTTTTCAGACCCCTTAGAGCAGAAGGTATGAGTGCAGGGGATCTGCAGAATGATAAATTAAGAACAACCTCCCCTCCCCACCCCACCCCCCAAGCAACACTTAGTGTAGCTTTCTCAGTGGTGTTTGCAATTCTGGGAACCCAAGTGTGAGATTTCAAACTACAGCATATTTGGTCTTAGTTCTTCTAGAGAAAGAGGCATGTAAATTGTTAAGCCTGCAGACTGCTCAGCTTGGCTCACTTTTACCTGCTATGTCAAGGATAGGCCATATATTGAACTAGAGGGTAAGAAATCTCTTTAATCAGTAAATCTTACCCGGATTTTCTCAATTTCCACTTTATTGGCTGTCTGTTGCTTTTCCAGTCTTTCACTCAGTTGAGAACAAATCTAAACAAATATAAAACCAGAGAGTTTGGCTCAATGTTACCTGCATAAGTTGGACTTTGGATAAATTCTATTCTAGCAGCAGAAGGACTATGCTGTGACTGCATAGGTGGGAGTAACAGAGCACAGACGGAACAGACCTACAAAGTTCTCTATAGACACTGTGAGATCCCAGGTATAGAAGAAGAGAGATCAATCTGGTTCTGTTTACAAAAATTCTACCAGCCTTAGAAGGGAGTGGCTTGCCAATATTCAGACATACTTCATCACCTGACATCTTAAATGCTGGCTTTTATGTACCTCCTATATGCTGGGCACTCTGCATGCATGCCTAGTTAGATCTTAACAATCTTCCCAGGTGGAGATAAGCTTCCTTATTGTGAGACTAAGGTAAGAACAGGACCTTGAAGCCAGAGGGCATACTCTACCCATCATGTGCCGTGCCCAGCCCAGCCCCTGGTACAGAAACTCACCTGCTTATAGTCACCAATGATAGAGCTATTTTTTTTAATCTCTGATTCTGCCTTGTCAAGTTCCCGGCGGCACATTTCCTTTAACTGCACACATTAAAAAAAAAAAAAAAAGTGAGTATTTGAAATGAAAGAGGAAGCCTGGTTATTAACTACATAGTGCTGAGCCTTACCTAACTGGCTGGGCTTAGTTCCTTCACACCCACCTCCTTCCTCTTCCCAATGTAACACTAATCCTCTGTATTTAACACCACTAGGAGGAAAAGTCCATATTTCTAGAAATGACAGTGCCCAGTTCCATTGGGGCTTCTACTAAAGTTGTTCTAGCCACTGTACAAGGAGACAGTGCAGGCCAAACAGGGCCCCCCCCCCCCCAAAAAAAAAAAAAAGACCCAGGAAAGATGGCAGTGTTACAGGCAGTGCTTGTTCAGGCTCATCTTGGCTAGGTCTACCTGAGATGAGTAGTTGTGAAGGTCCTGTGCAAGTGTAGATAGAGGGAGAGAGCTTGTTCTGGGTCCCATGGCACCCATGGCTCTCAAAGTGTATTCTATGAGAGGCATCAGAGGACAAAGGTGGGAGGAAGACATTCTGAGATGCACCCTCTCCTGCAGACACTAGTATCCTTCCATTGTCTTTCATGCTGATACACAGGAGCTTGTCCCATCTCAGTGATGGTACTAACTCATGCTTTAGTTTTTAGGAACCATTACATTTTATGGAAAAAATTAAAATGGCCTTTGAAAAGTAACTGAAGCCACTGTCTCCAGTTTCTCTAGCACCAAGAGAGTGCATCTAGCAGAACCCACCAGTATTGTGAAAATTCAGAGGTGTATGGGAGGAAGCAAGGATCCCCTCACCTGTGCAGACTCTTCTTCTAACCTCCTCTTCTCATCTTCTGCATCAATCAGCTTCTGCTTGGTCATCAGCAGCTCCTTATTCAATGCATCCGCCTTCTCCTCTGCCTGAGACACCAAGAAGATGACATTACTAAGCACTCATTATGTGCTCAGAACTTGAAAGGTCAGGATCGTATTGTAAGAAGATAGAGTGAGCCTGTCCAGATGGAGGAATGGCACACTCAAGGTCACCCCTAGGCTGCTTACAGTGTGTAGCTAGTGCAGGGCAGTGGTCAGGGACTGAGGTTTGTTTTGGTTTTTTTAAACTCACCTCATTGTTAAGGGACTTGTGCTACTTGAATAAATTACAGAGACCCTTTCTTTCTAAGCTGTAGGTTATCCAGCATAATATTCATCCAGTACAGTGCCTAAGCTAGCATGAACAATGGGATGGTAGGTGAATTTTATTATTGTTTTCTTTTCCAAATGGTTTCCATTTCTTCCACGCATCTGACTAGTCCTGCATGTGTTCTTGCTAAAGTTATTCAACAGAAAAAAACTACTTTTTCTGAAATTTTGAGTGGCCATCGTCTTTTTCTAGCACAAACAAATGTCTGGTAAGTAGAGATGTGAATCCCAGGAGGGAAAAATCCCTGTGGTTCCTGACACAGATCCCTTCACAGATAACTGAAAAGTGACTGTCATTGGACAACAATCAAGGAAGCTAGGGATAGCCTTTTTGGGTCCTTTCCTGGACAACTTTGCCTGGCTTCTCTGATATTAAGCAGTGTTGACAACACTTAGACAAGTACTGTAGCTAGGACTGAGCTATTCATTGTACTCTTGGACCTTCACAAACAGAACTGAGACAGGCATGATGTGAGCAAACTGAGGCAACTGCTGACTCCTTGCAGACTGAGCAGGCACTGAGGATAGTTCACTACTTATTCCTCCATTGCAAACTCAAGAGGCAATCATAAGCAAAATGAAGACAGCAGATCACAAGAAAATAGTAAGAGAACACAGCTGATAGATAGCACTTGAGCATAGCTGTGACCTGTGCCCATTATCAGTGAGTAGGTGGCTCATATGAGGGCAACTCCAAAAGTGAGTCAGCAAGGGGAAAGCTGATACAGCTGGAAGCTCCACTTCCATAGGGGCAAGGTGAGGCAGTCTCTCCTCGCCTCTCACAGTCTAGGTAACAGAGCTGGACGGACTCTACAGCCCCTGCTCCAGCTCCACTCTAGCTGGCTCTCAGCACTTCAATGGGAAGGCGCACACAGCCTACTGGACTGCCCCAGCTCTAGTCCTGATGGGACCCCCACTTGCAACAGTCACTCGATTTATATAAACAACTGAGATGAGACACCTAGGGATAATATACATAAATCCAAGCTCCTACTTCCAGTCATGAAGGGTGAATAGGAAACAGATTCACCCTTCTACTCTAACCAGAATTCTGAACATTATCTGGGAAATAGTGAAGGAGAAAAGAAACCATCTATATTCTCCTTATTACTGAGGCTTCTGCCTAGAGGGTCAAGAACAATATGTCTGAAAAAGGTTGGTTAGGGTCCTGGGAGGCTGAGGTGGCAGAAACTGTGGGAGAGAGAAGGAAGCAGCAAAAGGATGCAGCAAAAAAAAAAAAAAAAAAGCAAACAAGACAGAAAAGCAGTAGCTATCTGGATATAACTGAGCAGTGAGGACTTGTGGGGCCATTTCACAAGGAAGGAAACACAATGGAAATACACGCTGATGCTCCCATGATGTAAAGCCAAACTCCATAAAGTTGGAAGTAAAAGAGATAAATAATAACAGGGCTGTCTTTAAAAAAAGTACATACATAGAATTTCAGATGTTGATTTTTAAAAAGCTTTGCAGTAAATTATAAAAATCTTTAAGATAGTAAAAAAATTTTTACAAACTAAATCTCCCCCAAAGTAGGAAGAAATAACTCAAAACGATATTAACAGAACAAATACTACCGAAAAAAAAAAAGTAAAAGAAAAGCTGGCTTTGGAAAGATCAACTTTACTGGTAAACATCTACTTAGGCAACAGGGCTAGGGTGGAGGTGGGCATAACCCAGTTCAGGAGTGCAAGGGGGAGTTTGCTAGGGATTTATAAACATCAGCAAAGAAGCCCCAGCAGCTTCAGATATATACTTGGCCATCAAGGACAAGGTGCGGAAAGACAATTTGATAAAGAACAGCTAGGCGGTGCACACCCATATTCCCAGCATTTTGGGGAACAGACCCATGGGAACCACCTTAAATTCCAGGCTAGCCCTAGCAACTTAACAAGTACCAGATTAGCCAGGTCCACCTTAACTAATCACATTGAGATTGTCTAAAAAAAAAAAAAAAAAAAATCCAAACAAATTTTAGCAGTTGTCATGTGAAGAATTAGAGACATTCTCCAATTGTTACAGCTCCATTATCCAGGAAGTCAATTCATAATTTCCTGAAAATTTAACTTGTAAGCATCATGACTAAGTCCATTAGATCATAAGTTCAAGGTCTGCCTTAACAATTTATTAAGACCCCTATCTCAAAATAAGAAGCTGAAAGCTCAGCTGTTGTTTACTAGTGGAGTGCCAGCCTGGCACATGTGAAGCCTCAGGTTCAGTCCTCACTATTATAATGGCCCAAAGAACAAATGATGCCATCCTACCCAAGACTGGTCTAAAGACCTTGGCAAGTATGGACAGCAGTGGAAAACGAAGAAGAGCCTGAAGTTAATAGTCTTCATTCAGAAATACAATAGTGTATGTATGTGGAAAACTCAAAAAAAAAAAAAAAGAAATATAAATAAAAAAAGACAAAAAACGAAAATGAAACAAAAACCAAATGCACCCCAACTAGACTAATCACAGATTTTGGTAAGGTCAAAGACTACAGAGTATTGTATAAAACTACCTTCTGGTGATTAGTAGCCAACTGGAAAGTACAATTAAGAATACACATTGTAAGAGGAGCAAACCATTTGAACTGAAAAACCATAAAGTGGTACTGAGAGGAACTGAAGGCATGTTAACACAAAGGTGACATGCCATGGGCAGGGGGTTGTTCACATGTCAAATCTCTGAAAATTGACAGATTCCATGAAGCCTTATTTAAAATCCCAGAAGTCATCTATTACTAGAACCCTTTAAGTCCTTTGTATTTCTGTAAAAGTCTCCATTCAAAGCAGCCAAGTGAGTTTTTAAAAACAAAGCCAGATGCTATAAATGACTTAATTTTAAGATTCATTATAAAACTCCTGTAATCAAGACTCTGTAGTCCTGGCTTAAGACTCTGTAGTCTTGGCTTATATAAGGATGGAGTAGCTAGAATGTCAATTAGTCCAACCTATGCAGAGTCAGCTCATGTTTGAGCTCAGGCTGAGGAACTGTAGTGAAATGAAGTCTAGCAACCTGCTGGACCCACCACCTAGCTGTGCTGCTTTTTGTTCTAATGACATATGGTCCTGTCAGCCCTATGTCAGGGACCGTTCATAGGTTCTCTCTCCTCATAGCCCCAATGTTGCTTCCAGTTGTCACCCTACGCACAGAAGAGAAAGCTTTTCTGGGGTCACTAAGGAGTTAAGTGACTAGAAATTTCTCTACAGCTATGTAAACAATAGCACAAAGAGGCAGAAGACGACAAAAGTGATACAGTTCAGATGTGAGGAAATAATAAAAAGAATGAACTTCTTTTAAAAATTGAACCTCTGCAGTCAAAAGAATGTGAGAACATCTCACCTTCTTCATATCGCTTTCAATAATGGTTTGGAAGAGTGTCTGCTCAGAACTGTAGGTGCTAGCCAGGTGCTCCTGAGTCCTATTGGCAGTGTTCCTACTTAGAGTGTAACCATTGGACTCAGGCCACCTGGGTTTTCACTGTGATGGGTGTGCTCTGTGACTAGCTGGCAACCTACCTGTATAAGAGAGACAACCTGCTTTGTTCCCACTTTGTGATCCATGAAAGGGGGTCATGGTCCTGTATACTGTGCTGTGCTGAAGGTTCACAAAGATGGTGTTACAGAGTGCTTGGAACAGTGCCTAGCACCCAACAATGCTAAAGAAATGCTAGTTCTTACACAGCAGACTCATTAACCTTTCTTAGCTTGTGCTTGCCAACGTACTTAAAACATCAAATCACAGCTCCTTGACTGGTTCTTGTCTATAATGGCAACTGTTTAGTATCACAGAAGAGATCTCAGACATTCCAGTGAGGTTCAGAGTTTTCTAGCTTTCTGGGTATTTTCACTCCTCACCTCAGTACCTCATAATTGTTAAAACAAAATTCTTAGCCTGGTGTAGAGGTGCACTTGAGAGCAGAGGCAGGTGGACCTTTGTGAGTTCTAGCCAGCCTGGTCTATACAGAAAGTCCTAAGCATGTTGGAGCGCCATAGTAAGATCCTGTCTCAAAAGGGGAAAAAAAATCTTATCCTTACCTCTGCCTTGTAAGGAGGGAGTAAGGGATTAACAGAGCTGTGAAGTACTTGTAAACAGCCTGGTGCTACAGGACCAGAGACCGCTACAGTTTGCACTTTTTCTGCTTCAGGGCTAAGGAATGTAACCTATTTTTTAAGACTACAGTTTCAGATGAGCCAACCTTAAAAAAAGGTTTACACTGCTCATGGACAGGTTTCAAGAATTAAAGTCTAAGCTGGGCAGTGGTGGCCTACATGCCTTTAATCACAGCACGCGGGAGGCATAGGCAGAAGGATCTCTGTGAGTTCGAGGCCAGCCAGAGCTACACAGAAAAACCATGTCTCAAAAAAAAAGAATCCAAGACTACCTCAAACTACTGATTGACTTCTACCACATGTTCTTACAGATGAGAAAATACAATTGCTCAAGCTGAGCACCCACCTAGCGCTCTGGCCAACCTGCTGCTACTGTATATTGAGGACTTTTAATTTTTTTTTAACATTCACTTCATTCTGTATCATCCACAGCTGGGAGGGAACTGTGAGATGAACTCTGTAGCCCGATTCAAATATTCTCTGCTCTACTTACACAAGCTCCCTCTACTCTCCAGGCAGAAATGCCTGAGCAGTGAGACATTGTTTGAAGGTTTTTAAACAGGGAGAGGAGGCTTAACCCTGACAAACAGGCCTTTCTCACTGTCAGAAAGGCAGTGAGAAGTGAGAGCCCAGGTGTTACCCACAGAGAACTTGGCCTTGGCCTGGAGAAAAAAGTCTTCTCAGCCATGTCTGATAAGCTGTTCTTTGCATGCGCTTTTTTGGTATAGCATGCCAAATTATGCAATCCTGACTATACCTGTGCCATAGACATTACTTCTCCTGCCTAGATTTCAGTGTCCAGTGGCTAGGACAGCAGACTAGGTGATTACAGATTGGGTCTGTCTGAAATTTTAAATTTCTGAGATAATGAAAAGAACCAGCAGATACAGCCATATTTTTCTTTGATGTTTTAACAACTCTTGAGAAATTAATAAAAGATATATTTGGGTAGATGTCAAGGACTTTCTGAAGTACATATTTTTTTCTAGGGATGTACTGTATATGTGAATGTGAGAAGCTTGCAAGATCTTGGAAGCCTAAGTATATTGCTAGAATCTTGGCAAATCAACAAAGAACTCATATCAGGATACTGGGGGGTTAAATCCAGGGGCTTGCAAAAACTGTAGCTCAGGGCCATATCCAACCCACCACCAAATTTTTATAGGTAAATTTTTATTAGAAAGTAGCCATTCATTCATTTATCTGTGAACTGCTTTTGTATCACAGATAAAATCAAGTAGCAGCAACAGAGACCACAGGCCCTCAAAACCTTAAAACATTCCCTATGTTGCCACAGAATAAGTTTGCTTATCTTAAGCTATGAATGAGACTACTTCCTCTAAGTTTCAGAAACTTGTAGTACACAAAGCAGAAAGCCATTCTGGCAAGATTAAGGATACAAATAAAACCACAATAGATTGCTCAGCACTGAATGGAATCCCCATGAGCAGTATTACCCAGAAGGCTCACAACAGGAAGAAAAGTGAAAGAAACATCTATACCTCTTCCTGTGGAATCCAAGAAGCTGGAACAACTAACGCTGCTAACCAATACCATGAGTACTAGTAAAAGATGCCCTCTTCCCCACAAACTCCACCACACGCTCTCAATGTCTGGGTAAGCAAGAAGAGCCTGTGAACACAGTGAGTGAAGTATAGAGGATGGCACACTGGAAGTCTCTTTGAAAGAAAGGCTGACAAATGAGCTGGATTCTAAGGGAAGGGCTGATAGAATCTACAGCAGTCAAAGCTAAACTTCAAGGAAGGGATCAAATGACCTCAGTGTGAGCTTTCTCTTCAGATCTGTCACACTTACATTATCCAAGTCCTTCCGCAATGCAATTTTGCTGGTGACCAGCTCATGAGCTAAGTCGTCATTTTCCTGCTCCAACCTCATGTTAGCTTCCTGTAGTCGCCTATTTTCCCGCTGCAGGAGGAAAAAAAGTCAGTTATGGACATAAAAACCCAATCAAATGGAAATGATAGTTTTTCATGGGTTAAGTTCCAAAGTAAGTAGTCTCCAAGTCCTGTGGAATAAAGAGACATGGCTCACACAATAACGTTTCTAAACAAACAGTTTCTAATTTCCTGTCTCCTCAAAGAAGTGTGTAACTGACCAAAGTGACCTTTGTCAAGCAGCTGTGTCTGACTGAGGAAAGAACATCCAACCTGGGCAGCTGGTTTGCAGCAAAACAGTGCTTATATTTTGTAAACTCAATCTGAAAACCAGTCTTGAAACAGTGAAACTGAATTTTTAAAAAGAGTCAATAAAGCTAGCTGTGGACACAAGTCTATGATATGAAAGGCTGTAAAACAAACCTCAAATCGCTCGATGGGGTCTTCCTGTTGGGCCTGCTGCTCCCTCATGGTATGGTACTCCTTTTCAAACTTCTTCAGCTTCTTCTGGCTAATCTGCCGAGGAAGTCACAGCACAGATGAAGAACCTGACCATGGTGGTGCTTACTGACCTGGGCAGACCCGATTAATGTGGCTTGGCATTTACTACTTTGGATGGAAATCTTCATAGACAAATATAAGCCCAAGACTGCCAGGAATATATGGTTACTGTGTAACTGGTCTTCTGCTACTTTGTGGGTTCTTTCTTCCCCCCTTCTCTACCCTTTCAACCTTCTAACATTAGATAGGAGAGAAAAAAAAAAAAAGAGAGAGAGGAAAGGAAAGAGATCCCTGAATAAAGTAAGGGAGGGTCAGAAAGGTGGTGGTGTTATTGTTAGACTACTGCCTGCATCCCTTATCCACTTGTCCAGAGGCAATGCTTGCACCTTCTTTAATGGTTTAATCATATTTTACATTCTTTATTTCTATTTTCATTTGCAAGGTATCTGTCAACACCTGCTTTGATTCAGGGTCTCATATGGCTTTGTTTACAGGTGAGACTAATCTTTGTAAAAAAATCAGTGAGGGCTTCTCCAGAGCCTGATCCTGTAAAACCTTTGTGAAAAAGGTATTCTTCCTGGGCTCCTCGACATTGTTCCAAGCTCTTAAAGCCACTAACTGACATTGTTCTATAGTAGGGTCATCAAATTAAATCTGTTCTTATATATCAGAGTACTGCCCTCCACCCAGCAACTGAACTTTTACTATATTCCTTCCCCCTCACTCGATTTCACTGTTCAGTATTCACAGATGCTTTCCTACAGCATGTTAACCATTGCAATTGTAGACTGGCCTCCAGTACAGCTGTGACCGATTCCTTCCAGTATTGGAGAATAATTCTATTTTGAGTAGCCCAGTTATTTAGAGTTTGTTTCACTTAAGGCAAATGCATCCCATATAAGACCAGAGCCTTTAAAAACCACCTTCATTTCTATAGGAAGCCATCCTATCTAGTCACAACCTTGTTCCATACAATTAGCAGGCATGTGCTATTTGGCTACTGGGAAAATTGATGGTGATCTCATAATTCTGGGTTATTCCTCTTCTCACTGTGGTGGTGAGGATGGTTGAAATTAACCCAATGTCTTGAAACAGGCTGTTTTATCAGATTGTCCTCCCACCTTTTCAGCTTTTCTCTGACCCAACTGCCCTCCAGCCCAGTTTCTTTCCCTCTTTCCTCCTGCAGTAAATGCCTGTTCTCTTGCTCAGTCACCGCATTTAGCCTTTCACTCTCCGTTTCCAGTGCTCCTCATTCCCCAGAGCTTCCATTTCCACTCACAATATTTTCAGCTGCACAAACAATTCTGCAGCCCTTTCAGAAATGAGAAAGCTGAGTGAATCCTTTTGTTATTCCATTTCAACTTTTTTGTTTCTCAGGCTCCTCCATTTTCACCTGCAATTTTTCCAGTTGCACAGACATTCTCCCATCCTTCTTTGAAAGAGAATACAGAAAGAAGAAAAAGAAAAAAAAAAAAACAGAAAATCCCCCCCACCCAGGGAGCAAAGTGGGGGGGTTGGGGGGGGCAGAGGGATATCCCAGCAGTAGCAGCCACAATAAATTTTTTGCTGGTGTCCTGAAAAAAATATCCATTCTTTTGTCCCCTGCTATTTCCTCTATGGCATTTGAAATCAAATTTCCCATTCTGCCACATTAGGTGCTACTTGTCTTTTGGTACTTTGTAGGTTCTTCTGTCTTCTACCATTCTCTCACCTTTTCAACTCCGTAACACTAGATAGTAGATAAAAAATGATAGAGGGGAAAGGAAAGAGATCTCTGAGTGAAGTCGGGGGGGGGGTCTAGAAAGGGGGTGATACTATTGTTGGACTCCTTCCTGTTGATTAGGGGTATTGAGTTCCTTGGGGTAACTTTGATCTTCATTGTGTCAGGATATCTAATTTCTTGTTCTTTTTTGCCCACAACTACTTAACAAACCATGACCAACAACAACCAACAACCCATGGGGCCTCTTGGGGTGCTAGCTTTTATATACCCTCTAAAAAGTCCCCCAGAACCTCAAATGTCATACAATTGCAGAAACTATCTGCAGCTGGCAAAATCACGCCCTTGCTAGAGCATGAGGCAAATTATAGTCAACTGCTGTGGACAATACGAAGCAGCCCTTTATCCCACACTTGGGATTAAAACAAAAACAAATTATAATATTTCTGTGTTTTGTAAGGAAACCAAAGTTCCAAAATTCTTACTCCAACAGTGTTCTACAGAACACCTTACAGATGGTTTTGCTCACATTAATTTGGGACTCTATTTGCCCCTAGTAGTATTAGTTGTCGTTGTAGTATTAGTTGTCGTTGTAGTAGTAGTTGTCGTTGTAGTAGTAGTAGTAGTAGTAATGCCACCACTTTCTGTAGGACATACCAGCAGTGTTGCTAAACACAAGATGCATCCCCAGCCCCAATCATCATCTCGGGGATCAAGAGGTTCTGTTTTATGAGTAAAGTTGTCAAGAAGAGATTGTAGTGTCAGTTGGTGGTGGCACACACCTTTAGTTCCAGCTCTTTGGAGGCAGAGGCAGTGGACCTCAGAGGCTAGCCAGGAAAACCCTGTCTTGAAAACAAAAAGGGAAATAGAAGGAAGAAAAGGAAAAGAAGGAAAAGAAGAAAAATGAGGAAAGAAAGGAAGAGGAAGAAAAGCCACAATTGTAAGATTGGGGTCTGAAGGCCAGGCCACTGAAATTCCATTCAAAGCCTAAGTCCATCAAACTTCTAAAACTCCCAGCCTCTTTCCACTGTACTAGCCTCTTCTGTGCTGCCTCCAGCAGGCACAATCCTCTCTGCCCTTACAAACAGATTTCACTCTGCCACTGTCTATTCTCAAACCTCCACTTCTTGTAAGCCACAAGCTGGAACCTTCCACAAGCTACTGTGCTGCTTTCCAACTCTCTCAAGGACTCTACTTCTCCCTAGATGTTCATGCTTCATCAGGACCAACCACTTCTCTTTCTCCTGGGGATCTTTATGCTTTCCCTATGCCTAGCAGGAGTACCCTCTGTTCTGGCATGTACTTCTCTTGCAGCCATCCTAACCACAATTATGAGTGAACCTTACCCCTATGGAAGAGTTAGGAGAAGGATTGAAGGAACTGAAGGGGATGGCAACCCCATAAGAAGACAAACAGTATCAAGAAACCCAGACCCCTGGGAGCTCCCATAGATTAAGCCACTAACCAAAGAGTATACATGGGCTGGTCCATGCCCCCCAGCACATATATAGCAGAGAACTGCCTTGTTTGCCTCAGTGGGAGAGCATGCATCTGCTCCTGTAGGGCTATAGGAAAGAGAGATGCTGGGGGAGAGGATGTGGGGGGGGGGGGGAAGAGACCAGGTAGGTGGGTGAGGGAGCACCCTCTCAGAGGCAAAGGGGTAGGGGGATGGGGTGAAGAACTCTGGGAGGGGGGACCTAGAAGGGGGCCAACATTTGGAATGTAAAATAAAATATTTTTTAAAAAGAGTGAACCTTCAGGATGCAGCTCTCCTTTGTTCAACTCCTTTTAAACAGCTAACTCATTCTTTGTTTCAAAAAGTAAATTTAAAAACTATGAGCTATAACAGCACGATAAAATAGACATGTTCAGTTTAGAAAATGACAATAAACCTAGTACTTACTTCTCAAACCATCAATTTTCAACATTAAATTACTCATTTTCCAATCAACTTCTGGTCCACAGATCCAAGTAAGTATGAAGAAACTGAAGCAGAATGGGTGAACAGGATGTGTGTCTGCAGCATGCTGGTGGCAGTGCCTGTGTATCTTTCTGGTCATCCTTTGATCTAGCTCAAGGATCCTGGTGGAGATCCTTTCAGAATCATTAGCCCTGGTCTTCTGTATGGGCTATAACCAGAAGTGTCTGAACTGAGTTTTGTTTCCGGAATCTGGCATTACTATCCTAAAGCCACTGGTCAGGGCACAGATTTTTGCTCTGGCTACTCTCTCGACAAAGATGCCCATTAAACACAGGAGCCCACAAGCCTCTGTATTACCCAACTTGGGAGGAAACTTTTATTGTGCTCCTAAGTGACTCACCAAAGCCAACTGACCAACCAACCAAACACACACACACAAACCAGAAACCACACCTACATAAACATCTGTGTGATCAGTGAATTTATGTACCAATCCTATTAGGTAATGATGAAACAGAAAGTAACTGAGGCTTTCGGGAAGCACACTCTCTTTTGCCCAGTGCTCTTTGCAGTCTGGGCAAAAGAGAAGTGAGGGCAGGCAGCAAAGACAAGTCTCTCCCTTGAGCACCTTCTAAAAGAAGAGCAAACACCAACTCCTGTATACCTTCACAGGCCTTCAGAGGATACCTCAGTGTTTCACTGTCATTCAAAGTCAAGAGAGAACACTTTCTTCATAACCATATACTTTGAAAGTCTAATTTCAAAATAATTCCCATATTTTATCATCTTTGATTGGAGCTGGCCTGACTCAGCACCCCCTGTATCCAGTGAGTGTGGTGAATATTGGGTCCACCTCATGCACACAAGGTTTTGCTCATCTGTATTTTATGCATAGGTGTGAATTAATCATTTTTATAATTTAAATAAGTACTGTAAGAATTATTTTGGCTTAAGATAGTTGTTTCTTGTCTAATGATGTAATCTACTCAGTCTATCACCAAGGTGTCCTGTCTAAAACTAGATGCACATAAAGCCTCTTCCACCTTCCCTGGAGTTTCCAGGTGTAAAATTTCAATCTACCAGCTCAGTCTCTTTCCATCCTTTAGCCTCAGTTGTTATCTCTCCCACAAACTCTTGCCTCACTGTGACTTCCTCCATCAATGACACACGTGCTTCCTTCCAGCTGTTAACTGATGCTAACTTTAGGAGCTTGGATGTCTGCATACCAGAACCAGCTAGTTCAGGTTGCCTGTTACAGCCCAGCTCCCAGGAAAGAGTCGGCTCCTCTAACTGAAAGGCAGAGCCCTTGAAGCAAGAACAGTGATTGTGGTGGCAGTTCACACATATCAGGCCAGCTCTTCTCTATGTCCTTAA